TTTTTAAAAATTTACTGTATGTTCACTGCTCATATGTTTTTATACTAATATAATACTAATGTTTAATACTAATATTTTTTTTCATTCTACACCCACGAAAAGGAATCCAGCGCCTCTCCGGTAATTTTTCCCTTTAATATACAGCGCAGGGGTGGGGGGCAGCATATGTAGGTGCCTACCCCTCCGTCCGCAATCGCCACCGCCGAAATTCTCTGGTCCGCAAAGTCCATCGGCCCTGTTCCGCCTGTCCGCAATCGCAACCTTCAAAATACATAGAGTACATAGAGTCGTAATGTAATTGGGAGAGCTGGCGCCACTTTTAAGCATTTTCCATGTCCCGAATTCCGAGACTCCTGTGTGACGCCGGGTCACTTTTTCGATACATAATCGATTGTTTGCGATACACGGGTACCCGGCCATCCGATGACAACAACAACAACAACAACAACGAAGGAGATAGGAATCACCATGTATTCCACACCGCCATTTTGGATCGAAAATGTATCGAAAAAGTGACCCGAACTCGGCGCACACCGGGCTCGGAACTCGTCGAGCAGAACATGGCGCCAGCTCTCCCATTTACATTACGACTCTATGTACTCTATGTCAAAATATGAGAATCCGCAAACGCCACCCGATTCTTAGAATCCGCAAACGCCACGTCCGCAAACGCCACCGCACCGGACTCTAGATCCAATGTGTTTTTTTCCCGGCGAGCAAAAAATAATTGGTCACTCACAATTACGTCGGAAGGTGACGAAATGCAGTTGGCCTGTTTTCGATCGAACCCGTCCAAATTTGGGCAGCTTACAGGTATACGTCACCGGGACGCGATCAATCGCGTGAACACGGATGAATGAACCCCTCCAGGCCTCCACCCCCACCGACCAACCCCTCGTGACGTCAGAGTCGACATCATCTACAACCCTCCCCCTCCCCCGCCCTTAAACCGCCGTATGAATGACGCAGCTCGCTTCCGGGTCGCGAACACGGGTAGGCTTAAAGGAGCGCAAGAAAACAACGATCCCTCGGATCTGGATTACGAGAGGGATAACCAAGGGAAAACGCCGTATGAACATTCGAGAGTTGCCAAATTGCCCCGGATAAAACGTGTATTTTTGAAGAAAATCATGCATTGGAAAAAAGACACATTGGATCTAGAGTTAAGATTCCTTCCATATTCATTCACGTATAACACGATTCGCACAACCAAAATTTCGGGAAGCTTAAAAAAAGCACATTTCAGAAGAAGAGTGTTCAACTAGGGGTGTAATTTAGACCTTTCCGATACGCTCATCGTGGTTAGTGAGCAATTCTCTTATAAGATATAGCTCTCAATTTTGCTCTTGCTGAAGTTTCGCAACAGGCTAATTCAATCCCGTCCAGGATGCTGAATGCAGCGCCAGGCGCGGACCGAACCGATAAATCCCCCCATTCAAACGGGACGCACCTCGGGACAATAGATCGACCCCCACCCTACACGAAACAGGGGGGAGGGACGAGGGGGGCCGAGTATCGGTCATGCGTCCCGAAAGAAGGTCAATAAACCACAACCACATCCTCCCCCTAGGTTCCCGGACTCTGGGTCACTGTGACACGACACGCGGCGGTTCGACCTCCCCCCCCCCCCCCCCCCCCCCCGCCCCCCTCCAACCCGCTAACCGCCCTCGCCGCCACACCCCACCATTCGCCGCTCCGTCAATCCGTTTGTTTTGAAAAATGAGCCGTTCAGCAGGCCAGGGAAAGCTACTTCCTCGATGGAGCTGGGGAAGGGGATGTTTTGGTGGGAAGGGAGGATGGGGGCCGTCATGGCTCAACGTTTTACTCATTGTTTTTGCGTCGCGTATTCTACCGTGCTAAGGAAAAACGCCGTATGAACATTCAAGAGTTGCCAAGTTTCCTCTCGGAAAATAGTTATTTTTGAAGAAAGATATGAATAATTGGACGTATTTCTATCAAACGGAACTAAGCGCCATAGGGGGAGGAAGGGAGAGAGGGGCTTGGATTGGCGGGTGTTGTGGAACGCGATGCTAGTTCGGCTTATGCTTGCAATGCTTTGCCATGGCGCTTAGTTCCGTTTGACAGAACGCGCTATCCGGGATACTAAAATCCTCAAAAGACACTCGATTTGGCACTTAGTTCTGTTGCCGATTTGGCAATTTTCCTTGAAAGTTTCTATATCCTTAGGTGAAATTGCGAATGAAATTATCTGAAAAATTGGAGGGAAAATATTTTTAAATATCCCGAAAATGAGTCATTTACCAAAGGAAATTTGGCAACGCCTGCATGCTGATACGGCGTTTTTCCGTAGCACGGCAGCATTGGACGCCGCACAGTGGAACGAGCTAACAGAGGAGGTTGGACATGAAACTTTTGGCTAAAATTTCAAATTTGGATGTTGATTTCGTCAAAAATTAAATTTTAAGGGTGTCCCTGAAAGGAAATTTCACAACAAAATCAATAAAACCACACTTGAAATTTTTGGTCTTGTATTTCCAGAAACAAAAGCTTTCAAAGTTTTCAGATTTTCCTTATTGACTCGGCAACGGGACTACGTAAGCACAAAAATTGCGAATGCCAGAAAAACAAGAAAAACCGTTTTATTAATCGCTTCGTAGACAATCTTCGAATGGAATGTACTATGTTAGTTTAGAAGGCTATTTTGAAGACATGATTGATCATATCAGAGAAAACTAAGAAAAAACAACCCCTCTACCACCAGATATTGGCGCTTACACTGGAAAAAAACCACATTGGATCTAGAGTCCAGACTCTTGAAAACATTGACAAGAAAACGGACTATTGATTCAATCAGATTTAAGATTAAATCAAAAGGAAATCCGCTCAAATTAAGAGGCTTGGTTCTTAATCGATTTAAGCATAAATCTGATTCAATCAAGAGTATTTTTTCTTGTCGATGTTATTAAGAGTCTGGACTCTAGATCCAATGTGTTTTTTCCCCCAGTTTACGTCATTTAGTAAGTAGCAGGTCCAATTTGCAATTTCAGTGAAAAATTTAATATCCGACTTCTTCCAGTGATTCGTTCCACTGTGCGGCTGAAAGGACGAAGGGTGAAAGGTGACGATGGGAGAAACGAATTTTCGGGATGGATAGCTTTCCGCCTACGTGTTTCACGTCGTTTTATTGGACGGCTCTAAAGTTCAGGTGAATCATCTGCGTGGCGAAAACCGCCACGTTGCGCATCTGAGATCCGATTTCGTCGTTGGCGATTATTTTAATAATCGCCTGACGTCATAAGGCCGTATTCTCAGTCGTTCTCTGAACAGCTCCTTTCCTCAGGAAACCCCAAATGGTTTACATGGTGAGAAGCAATATCGTGGCGTGCTTTACGATATATCGATTGATCTGCCATTTAAACTATGGAAAAGGATCGACAAACAGGCAGAGTATTCGCGACGAATACCTTAATAATCGATTCTTTACCACAGCTTCAACGGAGAGATATCGATAATCGATCATTCACTCCATATCACTGTGATTAAGAAAGGTTCACTGAGATCCTTAACATAGCATTATAAAAATGCCAATTATTGCACTTTTTCAGTCTCTAGCAGCGTAACTTTGACAATGGGTCCTTACGAGAGATTACAATGATTTGCCACTGAAAAAGTGCAAAGTATGGGCAAAATAGTCGATGATTTTGACAAACCTTAAGGTAGGCGCAAACCTTCCTTAAAATTTAAAAAACTCGCAATTTATTTTTCATCATAATTTGCAGTTTTGGTTATGAATGTTGTTTGTAATCCCTTTCAGAGATTCATTCCAAAATTTGTTCAGCTGTTCACGTAAAATTTTCTTTTTCACCATGCTATGTCAAGGATCACCTTGAACGACCCTCATCACAATGTAAACTATATCGACGGTACAACTAAACCACGTATCTCGTTTCGGTGTTTAAAAATCTCCGCTTCTATGTTTGTATTTTACCGGAGAGAACAGATCAACATCATTCCTTAAAATTTTCTCAGAATTTGCTTCACACAGAGAAGAAAAATCAGGGAAGTTTTAAAAAATTGCCGGTGCGTAGTTCTCCATTTTAAAAATAAAGCATGACGGGATGTCTACGACATCGCAAATCGAAGTACGTGGTTTTGGAATTTCACCGTCGATACGGGGTTTCTTAAAGGAAAAACAGTTTATGTAACGACTATACGATTACGACCTTGAAACTCATGAGTTTTAACACCTTATTTTCAGCATGTAAGAAAATTAAAACTGGCTTTCCGAGTTTAAACGGCAATTCAACTTTTTTCAGAGAACGTCTGTGCAGATTTTTGTTTAAACTTTAAGGAACATTGCTTCGCACTATATTGGAGAAAATTCACTGAAATTTGCACAAAAATCCGCACAACCGTTTTCATTTAATAAATTAAAGTGCGCAATTTTTGGCAACGGCTGATGTGCCTTAGTTCCTTTCTGTTTGGCTCGGTCCAAATATTCGTCAATACAAAACGCAGAAAGTTTAAGAGTGGCCTCATTAGTTCATTAGTATTTTCAGCATGTAAGAAAATTAAAACTGGCTTTCTAAGCTCAAACGGCAACCAGACAAGATTAGAATTTATTTCGCTAAATGACGCTCATTTTAGCAAAACACCCGGCAACCAGGGTATTTACCAGTGTTCGAAACTCACAGGCGCCAACGCGCCAAATGCGCCAACGTGGCCCCTAGAAATCTGGATTTTCACAGGAAGTCACATAAAGAAAGAAAAACAAATCTATTTGAATTGAAAAAACTCCGAATTTTCAGCACTACAAGTGAAAGCTCGCTTTTCCTATTCTTCACGATTTCATTCTTAGTGCGCTTTTGCCTTCCCCAAGTTACTTACTAGTTCTGGTACAAAAAAAAATCTTGTGTCTAACTTTTCACTAGATGCGCCGTAATATATATGCAAAAAGTCAAGGCCCCTAAAAAATCTTCAATGGCGCCTAAAAATCGGGCTTGATGCGCCACATGGCTCCTAAAACTCAAAGGTGAGTTTCGAACACTGGTGTCTACTGTAGTCAAAAAATGAAAATATTACACTTTTTGACGACTACATTCAATAAAGACTATAACGTAAGAATACGGGTACTTACCGGGCAGGATTGTCGTCGTGAAGTTTACGCGTGGAGCCCAAATTTGAGGGGGAGGTTGAGATTGAACTGCGCTTGAGTTTCTTGCCGGCTTCTCCTTGCACGCTCCACTCTTCGATCGAAGACGAGGTCCTGAAACAAAAAATTAAAAAAATTTGAAAACTTGCAAGAATTGATGAGTGGTAGGGTAAACACACCTGATTCGAGAGAAATGGGTGTAACTAGAGAGGACCGAGGATCCGAAACCGAGCTAACCTCAGAGACGCACTAGTAAAAAAAGTAGCTTGGATCTAGAGTCCAGACTCTTAAAAACATTGACAGGAAAAAATACTCTCGATTCAAATGGAAATCCGCCTAAATAAAGAGGCTTGGCTCTTCGATTCAAGGAAAAATCCGATTGAATCAAGAGTATATTTCTCGTCAATGTTTTTAAGAGTCTGGACTCTAGATCCAAGCTACTCTTTTTTTTTTTTACCAGTGCGATATATCTTCGAGGCTCCGTCCAGCCTTCATACCTATACTGTCGTGCTAAGGAAGAACGCCGTATGAACCCTCAGACGTTGCCATATTTTCCTCAATTAAAAATTTTTTTATTAAGGAAAATTAAGAATATTTCCCCTCAATTTTTCAGACAATCTTGTTCGTAATTTTATCTAAAACGTCCAAAAATTTCAAAGAAAAAGTAGCATAATTTTCTTTGAAAATACATTTTTTATCCGGGAAAATATGGCACCTCTCGAATGTTCATGAAGCGTTCTTTCCTAGGACGGCAGTATACTGTAAAAGTTACTTTTGAAAGTCAACGCTGCGGACTGATTGTTGAAATCGCTTTACAAAGAAAAAAGGAGACACAAAGTTTCAAGTTTCAGCGTTGCTTGGTTCTCTGTTCAGCAAAATGAACATCAAAGAAAATCAGGCAACGTTGGATGTAGTTACGCTGATGTCCTGTCCATACGATGGCATTTTAAGAAAAAAACACCCTGAAATAAAACAGACATCATTGATGGAGCGGTAATACCGCTACGCTTTGTGTATCATTGCGCGCAAGACAAGCCAAAACGCCTTCAATTTTTATGGATGCAACGCGGTCAACTCCGGAACACGAATAGTTGTATCAAGGTGCTACATCCTACGTGAGTTGTTTTGCGTCCTGCTTCCACGAATCAGGTATGGAAAGTCAATGACCTGCCTTGCTGTGAGTGTAAAAATTGGTCAGTGGGTCATTCTATCAACATTACGGATCAATGACCTTTCGATTTGATTGATCGGTGTGGCTAAGTTCAAAGGTCACTGACCCCCAGATATATGATTTTAAATGACTCCAGTAGGTCAGTGAGTCAAAGCAAGAGAGGGAATGACCTAATGCATTTTAATTTAAAAATGGGTCACTGTCTTACGGACTGAGCTAAAGGTTAACGACCTGTCTTTAGAGTGCAAACATCGGCCATCGATTTCATGATAAAAAATATCTGTTTCACCAGCTTTCAGTTTTTATTATGTTGATAATGATAATATTCATCGAGTCGATACAAAAATATGAAAGTTGTGCGAATGCCCGTTTTGGGATCGAGATACCCGAAATTAAGGGTTAACACCACCTCCATGGTTGCTTGTAAATCTGAAAAGTAGTATCAACCCAAATAAACTCAAGACTGAAAAAAATCGACGATAGCGGATTTTGCACGACACGATCCACTTATAATTAGGCGGAGAGTAGTACAATATTAATTGTGACGCAATACTACTACAATATTAATTGTAAACGCTTTTGTCTTGTTTAGAAGTTGAATTTCAGACTTCCGGACAGTGAGTCGTTTTTGCCGTGCAATTTTAAGGAGAATACTTATTGCGTAGTGTTTTAATTCGTATTGTATAGGCCCCATTCTACCGTGCTAAGGAAAAACGCCGTATGAGCCTTCAGACGTTGCCAAGTTTCCTCCGTTAAAAAACGAATTTACAGGGAAAATTCTGAAAATTATTTTCAAAAATACTCAGAAAATTGTGTACGCAATTTAATCTAGAACATCTGAAAATTTAAAGGAAAGATATGCATGAATGTTGTCAAAAATACATGTTTTATCATGGGAAATTATGGCAACTCTCGAATGTTCATACGGCGTTCTTCCTTAGCACGGCAACATTGGGGTCCGCACAGATGTAAACTTCAAGGCGACCATCGAGGGAGGTATCCACTAATAATGCAAGAATATTCAGCCATTTTCTTGGGATTAAGTTTAGGAAGCTAGGACTAGGAGGGCTTCAAGTTCCCCTCCCCCACGGGATCTGATTCCGATCCTGGCTGTTCTCCTCCACCCCCTCAGATGCGCTAGCGGCTAGCGGTAAGGGGTGCGTTAACACCCCTCCGAGGCGGTAAATACCCGCGCCTTCCTCCGCGCTCCTCATTAACTCTCGATCAGTTCTTGCTGTTGGTTTGTGCGTCTTCAATTTTGCTTTCTGTCAATCATTCTCAAGTCAGTTTCGTGTTTTCAACATGAATTTCTACAATCTTCTCTTCGCCATTGGTGCCTGCTGTTTCCCGACCGAACAAATCCAGATGTTCGATGAACTACCTGTTGAGCTCGTGATTCAAATTTTAAGGTATGTGAAGTTCTTTGATTCGTCTTCCTTATTTAATTTATATTCTTCATATTTCTAAGTTCTAAAATTAATAATTATTTCAGCTGAGTCAAATAATCCAAAGTCGCGTCAGGGATTTTCATTTCCAAAACGAGGCACACAAGAAAATTGAGTCTCTTGCTCTTATTTTAGTTTTTCTTCACTCCTCTAACTTGTCTGTTTGAAATATTAATAGCTGTCATTCTAATTAAGTTGTGCAAGTTTTAGACGCACATGAGTTTTAACGAGTAATTGGTAATGGTTCAGTGTAATTTTAATGAGATATACCCTAGTAAAGTTTACGTTGATTTTTGTAATTTTCCGTACATTGTAGGTCTTTTAAGATTTTTGGTAACTCATTCATTTTCGCCGTTATTGATTTTTGTGAATTGTGTTTTAATTTTGGTCTTTTTTTTGTTTGTCTCAGCTTTTTGGATCCAAAGTCTCTGTCGATTATGTCGCGCATGAATAAGCGCTTATTTCACATTTGCAAGAACAACAAAAGCCTCAGGACCACAATCAGAAGACATTTACGCAAGGAACGAAAAGAACAAATGAGGAAAATGCTGAACCCAGTCAAAGTCAGAGTTCTCAGGAGAGGACCCGAAAACACGGATGTTGTATTCCAACGCCAAAATACCAGGAGAGAAGCCGTCATTACTCGAAATTTCGGTAAGTTAAGATTTTTTTCTTTTTTTACTCTCGCATTTCAGTCCTCGTTTCATTTCTCAACTTCTTTTGGGTAAATATCTTAGTCTCTGTTTTTTCCTCATTTTTATAATCTTCATTCTGAATAAGTTTACGAGATTTTGCGAGTCGTCTTTATTTAACCCAATTTATAAATGTATATATGATGGTAGGTCATTTAATGGTACATTTATTTTTTCGCTTTGTGGCATTTTTGCTTTCAGTATATTTGATTTGTGTGTTTGTTTCTTTTCTGTTTCAGAGCCCTCGCGAGTTTTGCCAGGACACACCGAAAGCCCGCAAGTAGTATTTCAACGCCAAAGAACAAGGATTGGAACCGTAGTCGCTCCACATTTCGGTAAGTTGAGGTTTTCTTTCTACTTGCCTTTTTTATCACTTTCTCCTACGTTCTTAATTTTATTAGCTTTTCAGAGGTTTTATTTTCTAGTACTTAATAGTCTGCAAGAATCAGAAGAGGGAAACTCCTTGTGTCGGTTTATCCATTTATATATTTTATTAGTTTGTTCAAGTGTTTGTATCTTTAAGAATTATTTTTACGCTACTAGTTGCGGCTATTTTTAGTTTCAGTCGACATGAGCCAAGTTCAACTTGTTTTGTTTTGATATTAGCGTTGTTTAATTTTCCATAGTTTATTTAATTTTTGTTTCTTTATTTTTTTCTGTTCCAGGACCCTCGCAAGTTTTGCCAACTACAAAACGTCCGATTGCTGCCGTCTCGAAGAAACGATCACGTGGTGGTCAGGAGAACCCAGGACCAGGACTGGCCAAGAAGATGCGGATTTAATTTGTCTCTCGCGAGTTAGTTTTTAAGTTTACTCATTCTGTAACTTAATTGTAAAAGGCCTTTGTTTGTACAGTTTTGTAAATTTTATTGTTGTTATTTGTAAATATTGTTTTTTGTTAAATAAAATTGTATGCCATTGAACACATTCGACTTTTAAAGGATAATCGACACTTATTCAGGGTTTTTGGCATAGAGTGGACTGGTAAAGCTACAGGCGATCAACCACTATAAAAAAAGATATGACGTGCCAGTGCCCTGGTGTCAAGTGCGTTTCACTTGTAAATGTTGTTTTTTTGTAATGAGGTGTTGAAACTCATCTAGCTTTTGTGTATCGAAAATTATGCAGAAGCCCAGCGGGCTGATTGTTGAAGTTGTTAGACAAAGCGACAGACAAGGCAGACATAGGGAATATGGAACGATCCAATTCGTTGAAATGGTTTATTCCTGTGGACTAAGGGAGAAGATAATGGACTAACTATGGTGTCTCTCGTGGGTAGCAGTTAGTCAGGCTATTATCACCTTCCTTTGTCCATTGCAACCACCCACTTCCACCAATAGGATCCCTCCATATCCTTTTCGTCTTCTTTGTCTATACCTACATCTGTCAATTTTGACAATCAGCCCACAGTTTTGATTCATGCCAGGTTTTGTAATTGCTTCAAAAATACAAATGACGTCATTTGTGTAATCTAACTTTCATTTAATCTGTGTTCAAAATATTTGCTATTGTCTCATTCAAAAGTCGATTTCCGAAGTTCCCGGTGTATTATTCGTTTCCTTTTAAGATTTTGAATAGAATTCATGTCAAGCTAATTACTATTTTAGACCACGTCTAGTGGTCCATTGTATGCACGACTGGAATAAAAATGTCTCATCATTGGAGAATATAGAGTTCCTACTGCAAAAGTAGTGCCATCTAAATAGCACAAATTGCAATGGATTGCCGGCACATCGTAAAATTATTGCTAATTTATCGGAGTGTTGTGCATGTTGTCTTTCCGCTGACTGAAGGGGCTCCTCTAATCAAAATTTATTTGGAGAAAGTTGGAATAAGTTGCAATTCGATTATATTGCATAGGTACAGTGTAGTTTTCTCAGACACGGAACACATTTTGTGATCGTTTAAAGCAGGGATTTATTGACCGAATGATGTGAAAATATTGCGATAATAGCATTGACTTGCGGTTATTACTTCAATATTTTCGCTGCACTGTGCTACCAAGGCATGTAGAATTCGTTTTTTTTCTAATTGACTCCTGCTTTTAGGCTTTGTGGAAGACTGTCCATCATTTTTTATTGACATTTTCGATTAATTTTTTCACTCATTGAAAAATTCATGCAAAGTTTTTGCAGTAGCATTCCAAATTCCGATTGCTTTTTCTTGAAAAAAAAAAAAAAAAATACTGTCGGACGATTTTTCAGTTGTTCGTGGAAGAAGAAGACGACAATCGGAAAGGTGCTGTATCCACTGTGACTTGAACCCTGTCATGCACGCATCTTTATGAATCTCGGGGCGCATTTAAGAACGGATTTAGTTCCTTTTGATTTAAATACGCCGAAATAAGAGACGCATTTTTTGCATTACGTAATCTTATAGTAAATGGTACGTATTTTGCACTAATGGATGTATTGGATGATGACCAAGGGCCTCTCAGATTCACAAAATTCCAACTCGATTCTCTTGACACACTGCCCCACTTAAAAAGCAATTGCATTAAGAAATTTCGGGTCGAACGTTACTGATATTCGACCCTCCTTTTTGACGCTTGTGCACACATATCCGTCGGCTCGCCAAACAATGTCGTGTATTAGGACGGCACTCACGATACCCGAACTTGTTATCCAGAGTGCTTTGTTGTATCAATTTATGTAAGCGTATCCTTTTTCACGCATTGTGAGCCGTGGAAATGGGATTTCCCTCTGACCATAAAGAACAATTACACGTATTTCTGCCAAACGGAAGTAAGTCGACGGTGTAAGTCGGCAATCTCATAACTCGGTTTGCGACGTCGCAGACTTCCTGTCATACTTTATTTTTTAAACGAAAAACTACTCAACGGCAATTCTTTACAGCTGCAGTGATTTGTCTTCTCTGTGCGAAGAAAATTCTGCAAAAACTTCAAGGAATGATGCTAATTTATTCTCCTTTAAAAAAATAAAATAGAGGCGGAGATTTTCAGACACCGCAAACGAGTTATGTGATTGCCAACTTACACCGTCGAAATACATCCAATTCATTTTGTCGAGTAAGTTTTGGTTCATCTGTTGGCATCCTGAGGCTTGCGCTGCCGTGCTCAGGAAGAACGCCGTAAGAACCTTCAGGCGTTGCCAAATTTCGATTGATTAAACACGAATTTCCTGGTAAATTTATGAATATTTTTCTTTCAATTTTTAAGACAATTTAGCTCGCAATTTCACCCATAGCTCCTGAAAATTTCAAGGAAGAATATTCATAACTTTCTTCAAAAATAAATATTTTAACGAAGGAAATTTGGCAATTCTGGTATGTTCGTACGGCGTTCTTTGTTGGCATGGCAGTTCGTACGACCAGTCAAAAATTACGTGATGCACGCAAGCAGAGGAAGGGTGGAGGGTATATCGTCGCTCCTTCGACACAAGAGCGTATTTAAAATTCTCCGTAGGCCCCAGGAAGCGTGAAATCATATGGATAGAAGGCTCAACTCAAAAAAAGAGTTACACTTCCGCGTCAAAGGAGCGAAGATTTAGTTGGCCAAAGTGCGAAACCACGTATCTCCAATTGCGACTTTGCAGCTGTTGTCAGTTGTTTTCTTTGTAATACTAGTCCAAGTGACTTCTTGAAAACTGGGGGTGGCCACATGGGCCGCGGCCCATAGCGGAAAATGTTGCAATTTTTTTAAATGTAGGTATAAAAAAAAATCGGATTCAGAAAAAAAACTACAAACGAGATAAGGCAACAAAATCTCTTATTTACTGAGAGTGTAGTAATCTATATTTTGTCGTCTTTCGGTAATACAAGAGACAGCGCGGCGCGGCGAAGAGAGCAATGATGACGAGGACTTAAGATAAAAAGAAGCCCTCGGCGCGGCGGTCGGCATGTGACAGATACGTAGTACCGCCTACAAAACTGCGTGAATACTTCACGCATTGCGTCGAACACAGTGCAGCCAGCGCGGCAAGGAAGTTGAAAGTATATACCCCCATTAATGTTTGTTCTTTCACAATGTTTTCGTTCATTTCTTATAAATGCAAGGCTAACTATATTTATTATTTTAAGTTGAGTGTCTTTTACCGATTTTTGCCCGCATCATCCATATGGATGCCACACTGTGCGTCGAGAGAATTCTGCTTTGACGAGTAGACTTTTTTTCTTTTAGAGGTACATACAGGCACTGCAGTCTATTATTTTATCCCTTTGCACTTTACTCTGTCCAACTCTAGTAATTATTTGACAGATGTACACGGATGTTTACAGATAATCATTCATAATTTAAATCATTTTTTTATATCTAAAGATTTATTTATTTAAAAATCTCCCCAATTTAACAAGTTAACCAAATGAGATTAGGTTAATTTGTAAAGTTCTAAAGGGTCTTCTTGTCTTTTGATTCTATTTAAGATTTTTCACTTAAATATTAATTTTCACTATTTTAGTTTAAAAAGCTTGTTTACACGGTTTAAAAAGTTTGTCATGTGACAATGGGAAATTCTTCAGTGCTCTTGCTAGGCGAGCGGTATTACTTTATTGTAAACACTTAATCAGTTTATTTCAAAACTCCCAGTGGTGTGATTTGTTAATTTCGTCAAATTTTGGAAAGAAAACATTTTGTGTAGTCTTTTAATTGGATTGCATTTTGCGATAAGGAACCGCAATTTCTATACCTCATACATAAAAACACCCATCAATATAGGAAAACTAATGGCATATACGTTGTTCCTGAAATGAGCTAGAGCTTGATTTTACTAATTGCAAAATGTGGTCCAATTCATACTTCGTGAAAGGCCTTTCGAGCGGGACTGACCCCGTGACCCAAAGACCGTTTTCTTTTCAGTTCCCCTTGGAAGAAAAGTTGAGTTATTGGTGCGGTGACCCACTGACCATTTTTTCGATCAACAGGTTATCAGCGACAAACAGCCCACATGTTAGCATCGGTCACTGGTGGAAAGGTCAATGACCCTGTCCCTTACACTCAGGTCTTGTGACCCACTGACTGAGTTTAGAGTTTATTCACCCTCCTGTTTCTCTTGATAAAAAATTTTAGGACGATCGGTCCAGTAACCTACTGATAATAATTGTCGCGGTCGGATCAATGGGTCAATGTACCGATGTGCAACCTGAATAATGGGTCAAGAGTTTCCCATCATTCATGAACTTCACCCCTGTGCCCTACTGACCCTGAGTTTAAGTCGTAATAAGGTCGTTAACCCTTCAGTTTCACTCAGCGGAGAAATCTCATGATAATCTCTGCGGTGAGTCAATCTAGAAAATCAATGCGGAAGCCAGGAGACCTCTTGGCTCGTGGGAATTTTCAGGAGGGATGATTACACCGCCAACAAAATTAATTATAGGAGTAGAAAAGAGATATCCTTTCGGACAAAGCGCGAGGAGGGGTGCTCAGTGGAAATGTCCAACGGAAAATGTCCTGGTTAAAATGTCCAATTGTCATAATGTCCACGACAAAATGTCCAGAAGCTGAAATGGCCAAAATTCAAAACGTCCAAAACCTAAAATGTCCGAAACTTAAACGGGCGTAAAACAAGTATTTTTTGCCTCGCCTTTATAAGTGGCAACAGGTCAGAGAGACAGCTGAAGTTAATTTCATATTATGAATGAGTGTAGGTTTTCATACTTGAGATTACCATTACGATACTGCAGGAAACAGAATTGTCAATCGTACTTCTCAATTTGGATCAAAAACTGAAATCGTAAGTGCCATAAAATTTGCATAGTCTTTCATTTTTTTATTTTGCATACATGTGGACCTATGGGACATAAGGGACATTTTGCACATGGGACATTTTGCATATAGGACATTTTAGCTTTTGGACATTTTGTCGTGGACATTATGACAATTGGACATTTTAAATAGGACATTTTGTTTATTGGACATCTCCACCTGTCACCCGTGGAGGGGAGGGGGGTGGGTATTTGGCGGAGGCTTTGTGAGGAAAAGGGTATAGAACCTTAACATATTTCCCTAAACTTGACCAAAATACAAGGAGCTTAATTGAAAAGTATTCAACGTCAAGGTGATTCAATGGACGCTATATTTTGTGTCAGAAAGGCATGCGATATATCGCTTCAATTGGAACCATTCATTCAGCTACTCGTCATTTGCCTTCAATTTTGAGATCGCAACTCTGTTGGCAGGAGACTAAAGCACTCACTTATCAATTTTAACAAATAAATTCAACGTAATAAAGACGTGGTTTTGGTAGAGAGAAAATATCGCATTCGAGGGCAGTTTCGATAGCCACATTTGATTCAATAATAAACAAAATACTCCAATGCAAACACTCGTCTTCTCAGAAAGTAAGGCTAGTGGCACGTTATATCTTTTTTTATAGTGGTTGATCGCTTTTAGCCGAACCAGTCCACTCCACGCCAAAAACCTAGAGAATTAAAGTGTTTTGTTGAACTTTGTTAGGTCAAGCGTGCTTTCAGACATACGATTTTATTCAACAAACAATATTTACAAATGACAACAATAAAATTTAACAAAACTGTACAAACAACAACTATTTACAGAATAAAAATAGAGTTACAAAATGAGGAAACTTAAAATCTAAGCTGCGGAAGACAAATCAAATCCGCATCCTCTTGGCTAGTCCTGAACCAGGGTTCTTCTTCTGATCATCGCGTGACCGTTTCTTTGAGGCCAGAGATGCGGGGCGCGTTTTCTGTGGTACAACTTGCGCGGTTTCTGAAACAGACAAAAACGAAAAGATACATTAGACACCAATAAAAAATTACACGACGCAAAGATATGATGCTCTTAATTGCTATAAAAAGATAGTAAAGTATGATAAATAAAAACTGACACCCCGCTCCCTTGAGCTGAGCACGAAGAACTACAGAAAAAACCCGGAATGAAACGTTCCTGAAATAAATCTGTTAAAAGATGAAACGACAAATAGCTACTACTAAAGCTAATCAATGTTGAAAGAAGTTGTATTTATTACAAAACAGGTTCATGCTGGGCTCAATTATAGTCATTGCAAAGTTAATACTCCCCATTTCTTTTCGCTAATATTGCGATAGAAATAAACCAATAAACGAACCACTTGAAAAACTGCATCCTTATATGAGAAAGAAATAATTAAAGTACAAAAAATAATTTAACTCACCGAAATCTCGAGAGACATGAGTATTCCTCCTGGTATTTTGGCGTTGAAATACTACATTCGGAGTTCCGGATCCTTCCCTGAGAACTGTGGGCTCTGAAACAAAAAAATGAAAGAAAAACATAAGATGTGCATAAAAATAATCATGAAGAAAAGACCAAAAACTGGGGAAAAACGGCTTAAAAATGTCAAAAAGAAGAGACTGGGTCTATTAGTGCGTTCCAGGGAACATAATCGAAATCAAATGGTGCTAAAATTTGTTGAAAATTTAACGAGAAACAGCTACGACCGAAATTGCATAACTATAATTATTATTTTCTAGTATATTAAAACGTGCTATTAAAATCTATATTATCATACTTTTTTCTCATCATTAAATGCAGCCGCGATTTCGGTCCTTTAAAATCTTAAAAAATTGGGCGGGCTTGTTCTTAAGACGGCAATGAAACATGTTACGTTGGTATAGTTCATGAACTAATAATAAAAAAAGGAGAATAAAATATTGGAAATACATACCGAAATTTCGAGTGACAACAACGCCTCTTCTGGCATTCCGACTTTGGAAAGCATCATCCGTACTTCCGGTTTCTTGCCTGATGACCCTGACTTTGACTGGGTTTAGCATCTTCTTCAGTTGCTCCTTCCGTTCTTTGCGCAAGTATCTGCGGATTTTGGTTCTTAGGCCTTTATTGTTCTTGCAAATGTGAAACAGGCGTTTGTTCATGCGTGACATAATTGACAGAGACTTGGGATCCAAAAAGCTGAAACAAACAAAATAAAACCAAACATTAAATTACAAATTGATCGGGTCATGGATGAAAAGTTTCTAAAATTTTTACAAGTGATAGCAGAAAGATAGAATGAGTCATTTTGATGTTGATCTTTTACTTGGTAACGAATAACTTCACTTTTAGTTGATAAGGAAAACTATTTAGTTCAAATTGGTAATAAATAACTGATCGTGAGTAACTTTAGTTTTACGGCAATGATCATGAGCTATAAGAATTAATTATCGAACTGCGTAAACGAAATTCCTGGCGCGTCTTAAAAATCATCTGATTAGAATAGAATAATTCTGTGTTTCGATAAAAAAAAAAAAAAACGTCGCAGATAACACCATAAAAAATTATAAAGAAAGTTAAAGGAATAAATTAAATCATTAAGTAAAAAGAGCACAACTTACCTTAAAATTTGAATCACGAGCTCAACAGGTAGTTCATCGAACATCTGGATTTGTTCGGTCGGGAAACAGCACGCACCAATGGCGAAGAGAAGATTGTAGAAATTCATGGTTGAAAAATGACTGTAAATGAGCGAACGAGAAAAACGGAACGAGAGAAACACAAACTGATCACAAGAGCACTGATCACAGCAGAATGAGGTGCGTAGGGGAGGGCGCTTGCATTTACCACTTCGGAGGGGTGGTGTCGCCCCTCAGCGATGACGCGCCGCGGATCAGGCGCGAAGGGGAAGGCGCTTGGAGCATAATCAGGAGCGGACTGGTGGGCTCCTGCAAGAGGGGTAGTTGGGCCCCTGGAGGAGGGGTAAGTAATTAATATGCCCTTTGAATGCCTTTTACTAATAATAAGGAATGTATTTTAATCTCCATGGAGTAATTTTAAGACCCGGAAAAATGTTTCATTGGTAGATCAGTTCTAAGCTATTGAATGCATTATTTAGACCCAGGAAAGGGATCATTAGACGTTTAGTGCCAAGTTTTAGTGAATTAAATTATATGTCATAAGATAAAATAAGTTGAAAACCGGGAAAGGAAATTTGTAAATGAAAGGAAAAAACTATGAATACATTGCAAGATCAAATTCAACTTGAAATTTTTTCATTCATAGGAAAGCGGTCTTTAAAGGGCGAGATTAAAATTCAGATTAAGATTAGGCATTTAATGGTTTGGATAATATGCACATGCCTGCATTATATTTGGAAGACGCGCGGGTTTCTAGGCAGTACCTACGGAATTTCCTTATAGTTATGCGGCTCATATAAAATAATGTATAAACGAATCATTTCTTCCTAGACTAATAAATTAAGTGTCTAGAAATTGCATGAAAAACAACGGGAAACCAATGTCACAGTAGTTACTTACACCTGAAGGCCTGGATACACGCTCAAATTTCCGTCAATTACCGATCATAATGATGACCAAAATATGGTGGGCAAAATTTTGATGGTAGATGGTGCGCATTAGTTACCATTTGATCGGAAATTGATTCAAATTTGAGCGTGTACCCAGGCCTTTAGAGAAAATACGCTGCTTTCACACTTGCAGAGCGCACATTTTTCATAGCAATGACTTTTCAGGGCAAACTGGCGCCACTTGGTTTGAAAAAGTCGATCAATTCTCGACTCGGCTATACCAATCGCGAGGTGTGAATGATCGATTATCGATATTCCCCTATCTGAAGTCGTGGTAAAGGTGGTAAAAGATTATTAAGGTGTTCGTTGCGAACATCCTGTTTATCGATCCTTTTTCAAAGGTTTAAATGTCAGATCAATCGATAGCGCAGCGAAATAGATGTGCTTTCCCGGCTGGAAATTCTCGCAAAGCTCGAATGTGATGCTGTTGTTCGGAAAAACGCCACATTTTCCAATTAAAATAAATATTAAATGACCTTGAAAAGTTTACTAACCTAGTAAGAAATGAACTTTCGTTAGTGTTCGGGTAGTAACAAAATGAGGAGACTATACGTTTCAGAGTTCAATTTGACAAATTTTGTAAACGGAAGCAACTAGTTAAGGGTTATTGGTCATTTTTCAAACATTAACGTATGTTCCATTAGTTTTTTATGCAGATAGGTGATTTCATGGATGAGCTAAAACAGTGGTTCTTAAGAGTGACTGTGAAATGTAGTCCCATTGACGAGAGGCTCCCTGCACTCTTGCAATCCTTCATTATACCTTGAAAATATCGCTTCAGTCTTGCGAGTTTTTGTGTTCGATACGCGTAGCCGACAGTACCGTGGCGTGCTTTGCGATATATAGATTGATCTACAATTTAAACCTACAGAAAAGGATCGATTTAACAGGGTGCTCGCACGAACACCTTAAGGATCGATTTTTTGCCATAGCTACAAATCGGAAAATAGCGATAATCGATCATTCGATCATCCACACCTCGCCACTGCTATTTCGGTCCTCAGACGGAACAACATCATTGTTTATTGTGAGCAAAACTAGATGACAAGCTACAATGAACGATTGCAATAATGCTGCGAGCCTTGTGCCAATTAACGAACCTTTAAAACATACGATCGTCTTACTTTGTTACTATTGAAACACTGACCCACATTCATTTGTCAATATTTGTAGGTCAGTGAAATTTTTAAGGTCATTGACTCTTTCTTTCTTAAATGTTGTCGGTGCACTCCTGTGCCCTACTGACTGATATTGAGACATAATGAGGTCATTCACCTTTCAGTTTCACTTACAATCGGACCGCGTTAGGCAGAAAGGAACCAAGCCACATCACCTATTGCCAAATTTCATTGGGCAATTTAATTTTTTACATGAAAACGGCTAAGCGGCCCCTTCTGCAAATTTCAGTGAATTTTTTGCATAGTACGAAGCAAATTCCTCAAATTTTCCACAGGAATCCGAACGAACATTCTCTCAGAAAAAAATTATGAAAAATACTGTGAAATCAGCTCTTTAAGTTCTTTCAGATGAAGCAATAAAAAATTTGCACGCCAATTCTCCATTCCTGTCATACTTCATTTTTACTTTGGAAAATCAGTCAACGTAATTCCTTAAAAACTTCTCTGATTTCCCTTTTCTTAGCAGAATATTATAAGTATAAATTTCAAACTATAAAGTTAGCCCGTTTCTCCTTGGAACAACTAAAATCGGAGCAGGAAACATCATCCCTTTCCCTCGGCTCGATTTTGACGCGACTCAGCGCCTTTCTGTTGAACTCGGCCCCCAGAAACATCTGCGCTCAGAACCGTTGCTCACTTCTGCGTAACCCAAACCACCCCTGAAATCGCAATTTCGGCGCTCCGCTACCCTCGCTCGACCCCTTGGCGTTAAAAATAGGCAACAGTCATAAATATTATTCATCCCCGTCGGACCGGGGGAGGGGGGGATGTCTGAAAGCGACAAGTTTGATTTGGGAGCGGGCAAAATCCGGACGTTAATCCCCTAGCCTCGCGTGACGGGGGGAGTGAGGGGGGCCGGGGGATGTTTTGAGGTGTGCCAAGTTTTAGCACGTAATGACGCCCGGATTATTCGGCCACCCGCCGATCGCCGGCGCGCCAAGTTCAATTCCAATGCCGCAGTGTTGCCATGGCAACGTGCGATTTTTTTGTTTGGAGAATTTGGGGAGAGCTAGAGTTCCTTTATACTGAGAGTAGAACGATACGAATCCATTTCTGATCGTTCCCTTGTTTTAGGCCTCCGCACTCCACAGTGTCACAATCGGGAATAAAGATTACATTTTCATCAATAGAGGATTTGCAGGCGTCAGAAATTTAATGAATTTCGTGTTTAAAAGGAACCGAGTAAACTGAACACGAGGACACCCTTGGTTCATGAATTGAACAATTATTAGAGAAGACATGACAAAATGATCAAATCTGCTAAAATACGTGTGTTTATTATAAAGGAAATGCCGCCAGATGACGTCACTGGGCGGTGCATTTTCTCACTTTCAAATCTTTTTTGACACTATTTCTCCTATCAGGAAAAAATTATAAAAAATACTGTGAAATCAGCTCTTTAAGCACTTTCAGATGAAGCAATGAAAAATTTCCATGCAAATTCTCCATTGCAAAGATTATAAACTGGAATGGGCCGGGGACTTAGAGGCACGACAAGGAACAAACGCGGAATGAGAGGGGGAACAAATATGGGAATTCGGGAATGAGTTGATCAAAGATTACAAAAAACGTTCGATTTGCGGAATCTTTCTTCCCGTTTGTGACGTTGAGCCACGTTGTCTTAACTCTCTCTATAGAGGGACTCTAGATTTAGGGAGAGCATGGACCATGGCCGACGGGAGGGTCTATACGGTGATGTGCTTCTGTGCTGAGGAAGAACGCTATATGAGCCGTCAGACATAGTCGAACTTTCTTTGATAAAATAAGAATTTTCAGGAAAATCTGGAAGTATTTTTCTTCGAATTTTTAAGAGGATTTTATTCGCGATCAAGTCTAAATTATCTGAAAATTTTAAGGGAAAATATGCATATGTCTCTTCAAAAATAAACGTTTATCGAATTAAGCAACTCTTGATAGTTCACACGGCGTTTTTCGTTAGAACGGCAGAATCGGGAATTGGCGACATTCGAATGCTCATGCGGCGATTTTCCTTAGGAGGACAGTATTTTGCCGTGCTAAGGAGAAACAACGTTTGGACCTTTATACTTTATTATATTTCCCTCAATGAAACGGCGCGGAATTATGAGGCATTGCCACTAATCTGCTAGAATTCGAGAGGCAGGTTGAAATAAAAAAGCGCTCCTCATCGTTTAAGCGCTTAATATGAATAATTTTCCTCAAAATGCATGTTTCATCCGAGTAAATTTGTCAACTATTGAATATTCATACGGCAGATAAGGAGAAATTGCGATGATATTCGTGGCAACGGGTTGGCACTTTTTAAGGGGCCGCTCAGCTACCTTTCTGCGAAGGTTGTTCAACCCCGAATGGGCGCCCTAGATTCGCATTCCGAGGGGGGCTCCAAGCCGAGCGAAGGGTTTCCACCCCAAATAGCTTCGCAGCTCCACGCACAGGGCGGTCGAAGGGGCGGGGGGCGAGTATGTTCCCGGAGATTTTCCCCAGAAAACGATCCTAAGCTCCGGGCTGCCCCGACATCCAGGAAAGGGGTCAAAGTTCAAAGTTGAGATAAACGATCGGCTTCGAGAGGGATCGATTTCGCCTTCCAGTGTAACTACTCCCCCGACCACCATTGTTTACGAATTACTCCAACTGCTCGAAGACGATTTATTTCAGAGACCCGGCACGAACGATCCAAGAAACGTGATCGGGTGGGGGAAAAAGTTAAGTTCTGTTTTTCCCCGAATGATGACGGTTGATCAGCTACTTGTTGAGCAAGAGATTAAATAACATCAGCCTGATGGACTAAATTTTTTAATTAGAAACTACGATTTCTGACACATCTGTAAAAACACTTATGTGCCTGGGAATATTTATGGCACATACGTTGTTTCTATACAGAGCCAGAAATTGTAAATCGCAGCAATGTAATCGGGTGGGGAAAAATTTAAGTTCGGAGCTAAACGCTGTTTTCTCCTGAATGATGGTTGATGGGGCACTTGTTGAGCAAAAGATCAAATAAAATTCACCTAATTGGACTACATTTTGCCATTAGAAATTGCAATTTCTGGCTCATCTGTAAAGACATTTATGTGTGTGGGGAAATTAATGGTACATGTGTTGTTTCGAAATAGCTCTAATAGCGAAATGCGATGCTTCAGATCAACGCTGTTTTTTTCCCCGAATGATGGTTGATGAGCTACTTGTCGTGCAAAAAATTAAATAAAATTCACCTGATTAGACTACATTTTGTGATTAGGAACTACATTTCCTTGCACATCTGTAAAGACACTTATGTGCGTAGGGAA